TAAGAAATAATTGCTTCACAATCGGTTCTAATGGTTATTTCTGATTTATCTATCAGAAATAATTCAAATGCTTCTAGAGCATGTATGATAACATTGACTTCATGGTTAATGCTAGTTTGGTATACCTGGGGTTTTGTAGTATATTTGCCAGAGACATATCTGCATATTTGTTCTTCTATCTTAGAAGAATATTTGTTTTTCTTACGTTTTAGGATGACTCCCCATCCTAATTCGCTTCCATCACACTTGATTATCAAATAATCAGAGTCTAATGGTTATTGTAAAATTGGTAATTTGTTTACCATCTGTTTTATATTTTGAACCAATCTTATGTCTTCAGAATTAAATTTTCTTTCTCCTTTAATAGAAGTCTTATTGAATAAAGGAAATGTGTATTTACCCAAATTTGGAATAAAATTTTGGGCATAGTTTAAGAGTCCTAAAAAGGATCTCAAAGTCTTAATATCCTCCATTTTATCAGGAAAATCATGATTTTTTCTAGAAATATGGGGTTGGAGTTTTATTGTTCCGTTCCCTATTTATGTTCCTAGGAATTCTATAAAGCTTTTACAGATTTCCATTTTGTTTTTAGACACTATTAACCCATAATGTTCTAATTTGTATAAAACTTGTTTTAAATGAAGAAAATGTTCTTCTTTAGTCTTGGAAAAAATAAGTATGTCGTCTATATAGACGCAAGTGAATGATTTAAAGTCTTTAAAAATGTTGTCCATTTTTCTTTGGAAAATAACGGGTGCATTTTTAAGACCGAAAGACATCACATGTCATTCATATAATCCTTCTGAACAGGAAAAATTGTCCACTTTATTGAGTCAGGATCCATTTTAACTTGGTGGAAACCACTCTTTAAGTCAAATTTTGAAAACCATCTTGTATTTTGTATGCGGTTTATCAAAATATCTTTAGATAGAATAGTATATCCATCTTCGACTGTGTTATCATTCAGTCTTTTATAATTGTAAACCATCCTAGATTTATCTCTTTTTTGCTCTGAAGCTTTGTTTACTATGAAAGCAAGACTCTTGTGAGGACTCTCACTTGGATTTATTACTTTCAATTTCAAGAGATTGTCGATATGCAATCGACATTCTTCTTGCTCCCAATTGTTAAACTGTATATCTTTTGTTTTTATAATCAAATCAGGATTGATTATATTCAGTTTGCAAATAATAGGATCTTGATCCTAAAACTTTGTGGGGTATTCTCCTATTATGCTTGTTTTGTTTAACCTATCCAATATCTGTTGGATATTGTCAAACGTAATTGTTTTTTATATATTTATGGAAGAAAAAGATTCCATAATATCATTTGTGTAGTAATAATTCATATCTTGTTTCATACAATCACATATGTTAGAAGATTTGAGATTATCACAAGAATATCCATCCACAGGTTATTCTAAGTGTTTTTTATTGTCGCTACTAATTATGGGTGACATCTGTGTTATATCACTAATGATAACATAATCTTTGTTAATAGTGATAGTTCGATTATGGCCAAGAATAAAATCTAAATCAATAATCATACTTTGTTTGGAGGGGACTAAATTTTCCACTCGCATAATTTTAATGTGTATTTTCTGACAAAACAGGTCATAATTTGTACTGAATTGAAGAGAGATATTATTTATCTCTTCATCATTTATCATTATTTGTCTAGACATCATTCTGGTTTTTTGTACATGTTTACTTTTGGTAATCATGTATGGGGGTGTTTTTGTTTTGCACACAACCGTTTCAGAACATCCTGTATCTAAGAGAGCTTGAACTATAGCCTCTTTTGCAGGATTTTTGTCTTTCTGTGGAAAGTTTAATTTTACTAATACCTTTATGGTTATTAGTTGTTTTGTATTACAAACTAATGTGATACATTTCATAGTTCCCATCATGTTGTTTTGTGTAAAGGTGGATACTAAACATTTTTCAGTATCTTTTCCCTTAACAAGTTTTTCTAAATGAAGAATATTTTCTTCAAGTATGTTTAATCTGGTTTCTAAGACTGAAGTCCTAGTGTCGATTAAATTTTTGTATTTTTTATACCTTCTTCTTTTTTTAAGAAAGTAGGTATATCATGTATTTCTGATTTTGTTTTTAAATAATTTAAACAGAAATTTTTGTAACAAAGGGGATAATGTGTCCTTTGAGAGATGTGAAAGTATCTTTCACAGTATTGACAAGGAATCGATCCTGGTCTTGAAAAGCACGTTATGAGAACATGGATTCTTTTCATTTATATTCATTAAACCACTACCCAAATAGTCTAATGTTTCTCCTATGTTTAGAAGAAGTTTAGGATTTTGTAGACTTGGTTCTAAAGAAGACCTATTGTCTAGTGTGGGATTTTGGTTGTTGCTAAGAACAACATTTTGTGATGATTCTATTGATTTTGTATCAACAAAAATATCTTATATACTATCATGTTCCATCTGATAGTTGTGTGGTTGGAAATCATTTATTCCTACACTTGTATTTTCTAACCCTACTGTTGGTAAGGGTTCAGAAACTATGGATACATCATCTAATGCATCACTTTTTGTGTTGTCTAACCTAGACAAGGGTTCTAAACCTAAAGATACATTATCCAGTGTATCTTCTGATTCATCATGTGTGTCTACTAACCCTTATATGGATAAGGGTTCTAAGACTTTAGATAAATTTTCCAATGTATCATCTTCTTCATTTGGATAAAAATAATCTAAAAATCCATTTATAATATCGTCAAAAGATACAATATCCACTATATCTTCCTCACATCCTATGAGATTTATCATAGGAATATTTTCATTGTTAGGGAGAGTAGAAATACTATGTCTATTATCAACTGACCTATCTTGTTCTAGGTCTAGGTTTGATAGGGTTTTAAAGAACCAATCATGTAGTTCTTTGTGTTCTACTAACAAGTTATCTAAGGCATGTTGGTAGTCTTTATCTGCAGTTGGGTTAGCTAAATAACCCCAAAGATTTTTTTCTAAATGACTTATATACTCTATTTTGTCAATTAGTTTTATCAAACTTTTTAGTTTTCTAGAAATCTCTTCTAGAAAAGCATGTATGGTGTCTATATCTGAAATAGACCTTTTAAATCCCACTGGAGGGGATTTCATAATTTGTTCAACAGCTATAAAAGGTGTTTTGTAATCTTTATCTAAAAGATTTTGTTCAATAACTATCAGAGTTGTTTTATAGTCTTTGCCTAAAAAAGGCGATGTAGTACCTTCCATTAAAAAATTTTAAAATAAAAAAATTGTAAAAAAAAGGCAGTAAATCAGAGAATAAAGCAGCAGATCAGTAGAGGAGAATAAGGGGATCCACGAAATATACTGTAAAACAATATTTATAAAAGAATATCGATAATCATAAGGCTTAAAATAAAATCTTTTTGTTATTTTTATTAATTTTTGTTGTTTTATATATTTTTTTTAGTGATAAAAGAAAAACAAACAGATAAATAAAAGAAGATAAATAAAAATGATATACAAGAAAATATTTGTGCAAAGACTACCGCAATATGTAAAATATTCTTCAACCCACAAAGGTAGCTTCGCGGGTCTTAGGGTCTCGTGACACTCCCTGGCCTTAACCTGCCCTACTACTGGGTGGGGATCCTAGTGAATATAAATCAGTTCAATTGTAAAAATATTCAGGTAACCGAGGATTTTCTCGCTTTAATACCAAGAAGGGGAGACAGGGGCAGAAAAACCTAGTATGGGGAAAACTACTCTGAAACCTCTTTGACAAAATGGGGAAAGAGGGACATGACAGAAAAAGAAATAAACCAAAATATATTATAACTCTTTATCTCTTCTCTAGGTCAACGTGACTACTTAACTTACAAAGAACCTGAAACCAGACTAGCTTAAATGATGATTGTCCGAGATAAAATCGGTTATAATAAGATGTTCAGAATAAGATTATGAGATGACTGAATCTGACAATGCCAGTTAGACATCTCCTCATAAGTTTATGCATGAACGAAAAATAAAGACAAAAAAGTAAAGACAGAAAATAAACATATCCATAATAAGATTATGAGATGACTGAATATGACAGAACCGATTAGACATCTCCTCATAAACTTATATGAACATAAAATAAAACTATACAAAAATTTTAAACCTTTAAATAATTATCGTATCTTTTAATAAATAACATTTTAGATATCCAATTTGCCTTTGTTTTTAAATGAACTAAAACCTGCTACATATTCTACAAAATACCCAGGATTCGAAGATACTCTAGAGTAACAGACTTTAGAGATTACCATTTACATTTAAGCATCTTGACTTGGTCTTACCTGACAAATCCTTTAAATGTGCCACTTTTGTTTAGGGTCTCCTGTTAGCAAAATTTGGGTCATGTATATATATATGATACATATTTAAATGTGTTAGGGTCATTATTTATTAAGCCAAATAATAAAGTGATCTGACTAAATTAAAAAGGTTTGGCTAAAGGTATATGTCATGAAAATAAAATTGTGTAGAGACCATAGAGCAATTTCTAATTTGATGAGGGACCAAATTAGAAATACTAAAACTTAAGTAATTAACCTGATTTTGGTTATTTTAAGGGGTCATGGTCTCCTTCTGGGAGCACAGACAGAACGTAGTTACAGTCTCGTTCTTTTTTGTCTATCCCCATCAAGAGAGAAAACCAAGAGGGAAATACATGTGCTCTTCAGGTGGAAGACCATAAGATCAATAGTGCTCTAAAAGGGACATCATCATTATGGCTAATTCAGGTACGCTTTCGTATTTAGTTTACAACATGTTTATGAGTATAAGATTATTTTATATTTGATCGTTAGATTGAATATCATATTTAATTATCAGTTTACTAACAATTGGTATCAGAGCCACCCATACATGATTCATGTTTGTATTTCGTAAATTAAATTTAAGAATTTAGAACCCTAATCTCAAATTTTCATAAACCCTAAATTAAAAATTTGGGGTTAAATATCCTGGTTGTCTCTTCGCTTCACAACCACCAAACAATATTCTTCCTCCACTTCTGGTGGCCCAGTCTCCGCTTCTCGCTCTCATCACGGAAGCTCAGTAGAGCAGGTGGGACAAGGCTTCCAACGCAAACCGTGCGTTCAATGGAGTTTCCAACTCCGGGTATTCTAACGAAACTCACATCGCCACTTTTGCCGTTATACCAACAGAGCTTGCTATGGTTCTGTTCAAGCAAAACCCTGTCCCCATCCAAAAGCAAAGGCCTCAAGGATTTTAATTTTGGAGATCCAATGTGAAAATGGTCTTGCGTTAAGGTAAACAGTTTCTCCCATGAACCTGCGTATCCGTACATTCTCATAACCCAAACGTCAAATCCGTTTCCCCTATTCTCCATCACGCAAAGACACCCTCCCAACAGAGTCACTTCCATGTCGAAATTTCCCTTAACGGTTAACTTCACGGAAGCTATCGTGCGTGAGGTCAAAGGCGACGATGAGATCGGGCTGCTCCGGTTCGAGTTTGTAGCGGCGGCGTTTCGCGATGCTTCGTTAGCTGATTTCATTTGGGAATCAAAGTTGCCTTTGAATTATAAGTTCATCGTGGAGAAAGCTTTGAAGGATGTTTCTGTAGAAGACTCGGGGAAGAGGGATATTTATGCTAGACTCTGCAGGCCTAATTTGTTTGACAACGGGACCAAGGAAATTTGGCTGGATAAGAGGACGGGTGGGATGTGTATGGCGATTTCTTCCCAAGCGTTGAGGATTACAGGGATAGATGATACATAATAAATAAATAAATATATAAATTTGGTTTAGGGTTACTCTTATTAATATATTCAATTTGTTTGGTAGTTTAATATTTTTGTGAGCAAATTGAGTCAAGAAGTTACCAAAGTAACATCTCTTGAATTGGGGAGTTCGTGAAAAATATTAAATGTTAGTGTTTGTGTATATTCATGCGAGTATTAGTCAGCCCAAAGGAAGATTAATATTTGGCCGAATTGCATATACACTTGTAATGATAAACATGTGATAATTATAAGGATTTGCTTTGTCGATGATAAATCAATCCAAAGACTGGTTTGTTGTTAGACGTGCTTTATTGTCAATGTTTGATTATTACAATAAGATACCTCTAGCAGTTAATATTACCTGTCCAAAGACTTGATATTGATGGTGCATTGGGTGTCTTGAGATGGGTTAAACCATTATTTGAATATATATTTTATTTATAATTATTTAATTTTATAATTGAGCATAATTAATTTATTTCTTTTGTTCTTAATTCAACAACAAATGCTTCTATATCTGTCAATTTAAATTCTGTTCCGGTCCTCAATGGAACAAATTTTAAGGACTGGAAAGAGAACATTGATATTATTCTTGGCTGCATAGATATAGATCTTGCGTTAAGGACTGAGCAACCCCCTGTTCCTACGCATTCAAGTACCTCTGAACAGAAAAGAGATTATGAGAAGTGAGATCGCTCAAATCGCATGAGTCTAATGATCATTAAGCGCGGCATCCCGGAGGTGTTTAGGGGCACTGTTTCTGAAAACATCACAAGTGCCAAAGAGTTCCTTACTGAAATTGAGCAGCGCTTTGCAAAAAGTGATAAGGCGGAGGCAAACACTCTTCTTCAGAACTTGATCTCCATGAAATATCAGGGCAAAAGAAATATCAGGGAGTACATTATGAGCATGTCTAATATTGTCCTTTAAACTCAAGGCACTAAAGTTTGAACTATCAGAAGACTTGCTCATTCATTTGGTGTTGATTTCTCTTCCCGCAACATTTAATCAGTTTAAGGTATCTTACAACTGTCAGAAGGATAAATGGTCTCTTAATGAACTCATTTCACATTGTGTACAAGAAGAAGAAAGACTAAAACAAGACAATTTTTTTAGATGGAAACTGTTATGTTCTTTGAGGATATTGAATTTGGGGGGAAGAATAAGATTAAGAATTTTGTATTGGAGGAAGAATCGACAATAAATCCAGAACCGATTCAAACAGTTACTTTTGATAAAGTAAGTTCGGAACCTCCACAAGACATTGATGATAAACCCCATATTCAAGATGATTTGGTTGTTCGTCAAGACCAAACTCAAGATCCTCAAGAACTTGTGCGTCATGAGCCGGGGATACTCTAGTTACTAAGGGAGACAAATTTAGTCTAAATTAGTGCCCAAAGGGGAATTTGAAAATTGAGGAAATGCAACAGATTCCCCATGCATCAGCTATCGAGAGTTTGATGTATTCCCAAATATGTACGCGTCCATACATAACATACATAGTTGGGGTTCTAGGAAGATATTTAAGCAATTCAGGAATAGACCATTGGAAAACAGCAAAAAGGGTCATAAGATATTTAAAGAGAACAAAAGATTATATGCTCACATACAGAAGGTCAGACCACCAGTTGGAGATCGCTGGGTTTTCTGACGAAGATTTTGCAAGATGTCAAGAATTTGTAGCATGCTATGAGGCATCAAATCATGGAATATGGCTGAGAAATTTTGTCACAGGGTTGCAAATTGTGAAAGGTATTGAAAGACCACTTAAGTTATATTGTGACAATAAATTAGCTGTATTGTTAAGGAAAGAGTACAAAGTGGACAGATTTCCATAGAACACTTAAGGACAAACTCCATTATAGCATATCCTCTAACTAAAGGACTTCCGCCCAAGGTCTTTCATAAGTATGTTGCTCACATGAGTGTTTTACAGTGTGAGGAATTTGTGGTTTAGTGGGAGTTAGTCACTTTCATATATTTTATGTTCTATGTTTAATTTCATATATGTATACATTGATTTTTGGACATATTTGGTTATCTATAGATATGCAGTTTTTTTTTCGTTCATTCATTACACTTTGTATATTAAGGATATTATATTGATCTCGATAAGTTAAAGTTTGGACCAGTTGAAAATAGACGTGTACAGATCACTTTCACATAATTTTTCATGCTACACATTTCATGATGAATCCATGTCATTTGGTTATGTTAGGATGAGTAATCATTGTTGGTTTTAGTTGCGATGATGCAATGAAAAACTGATTTGGTTCTATATCCTGATATGATTAATGGACAAGACTTTTGGAATATGCTAAAGGAATATAATGACAATTTTGAGCTCATAAAGTCTAACACATTTGTAAGGTAGTAAGGACATATATAATTGTGACCAGTGGGAGATTGTTGGCAAAATTTGGGTCATGTATATATATGATACATATTTAAATATGTTAGGGTCATTATTTATTAAGCCAAATAATAAAGTGATCTGACTAAATTAAAAGGTTTGGCTAAAGGCATATGTCATGAAAATAAAATTGTGTAGAGACCATAGAACAAATTCTAATTTGATGAGGGGCCAAATTAGAAATACTAAAACTTAAGTAATTAACCTAATTTTGGTTATTTTAAGGGGTCATGATCCCCTTCTGGGAGCACAGACAGAACGTAGTTATAGTCCCGTTCTTTTCTTTCTATCCCCATCAAGAGAGAAAATCAAGAGGGAAATACATGTGCTCTTCAGGTGGAAGACCATAAGATCAATAATGTTCTAAAAAGGACATCATTATTATGGCTAAATCAGGTACACTTTCGCATTTAGTTTACAACATGTTTATGAGTATGAGATTATTTTATATTTTGATCGTTAGATTGAATATCATATTTAATTATCAGTTTACTAACATCTCTATCTCTTCTACCTTTTAACACTTCTCTATAAAAATAATATCATTTTGTTATTAAATAAAATATTATATATTCACCTTTCATATTATTTCGTCAAATAACTTATATTATCAGGGGAAACACAACGTTTTAGCATTTCACTTTTTTTTTTATAATTATTCTTTTAAAATACTATTTTATTTTTCTTTTTATTATTTAAATATATTTCTTTTCTTATATTTTTATTACTTTTAAAAATATATAAATTATAATAATTATTCATTTTTAAAATATAACACTTTTATTGCATGATAAAAAAACCGGTTATAACATGAATTTTCTTTTATGTAAATATATTTTTTAATAACGGTTTTTGGTATATTTTTATTAAATAAAAATAATTAACTATTTAATAAAAATATAAATTGTAACTACTCACTTCATTTAAAATAATCTCATAACTTCCTTTATCTAATAAATGATATTAATTATTTGATAAAAATATAAATTAGTAACCATTCAAGTAACCACCTACTTCGCTTAAAATATTCAATATAAAATATTAATATCAAATCTACATGAAAACATCTATTAATTTTTTTTATTAATAATACATATTTCATTTAAAAAATATTGTTACGCAGATATTTTCTTTTTATAGTTACTTTTAATGTTGTTTTTCTATAAATTATTTTATCTTTTATTTTATAATTAATACTCATTAAAAATATAAAATAGTAACTAATAACTTTATTTAAAACTAATGACAGCATATATTTATCCGTCTCTACATTTTTATTATATTTTTTATATTTATTAATATATATATATATATATATATTAAATATAAGTATTTATTTTTAAAATTATGAACTATTGAAAACAACTAAATATGAAGATTTTTTTAAAAAGAAGGGAATGTTAAAAAATGTGTAATCAGTTGTTACACAAACACTACTGGAAGCACACAAGAAAAAATTGTTACAAAATTGTTTTTTTTCCACATTATTTATAATTAACTTTTTTAAAATTTACTTTATTTTCTCAAATTTTTAAATGTATTTATTTATCTTTTCAATGTATCCACTAATCATAATTTTTCTCTCTCATATATTTTATTATTTTTAAATATATAAATGATAATAACTATTTTTTAAAATAATATTTTTATTTTTCTATCTTGGAGGATAAAAAAAAGTGGTTACAGAAGAATTTAGATCATAGATTATTTATAATAAATAACTAAGAATAATTTATTACTTATTTAATGAAAAACTCTTAAAACTAATCCTATATTTAATAACTTTATAAATTAATAAAATTTGAAATAATAATACATATTTACTTTTAAAAAATATGTAACATTTATTAAAATAAGACAATAGGATAAAAAATATGAAAACAAATATATAATTAGAATAGTATAAATATTAAATTTAACTTAATAAAATAAAAAATTACAGATATCACGTGTTTCCAGTAATATCTGGTATAAGTCGTAGAGACCCAAAACTTAGTATTATCTTCCATTTAAAAAAACTTGAATGACATGGGAAAGTAAGTAATATTACCTTTGTATTTAAAAACAAGGAAAAGGTGAGAAAATCCATCATGGTATGTCGGGGAAAAATACAATAGAATTACATAATATTAAATACAATGAACTTACGTGTCGATGTATAGTGAAATCTCACTTTACCGAATGGTGGCCTTCTTTTGCTGTCACACATCAACGGCCCAGATCAGTCCAGAGAGAGATCCTCATCACCTATAAATCACTTTTCCGCTGTGTCATCAATTCCAGTTTTAACAGAAAGGAAGCCCCAAAAAGAGAGAAAGAAGAAGAAATACTCCAGAAATTTCTTCGAGCAATCTTCTTTCTCCGCTACTCCATCTCGCGCGATCTCGTACCGATCCCTCTCGTTTTCATGATCGTCTTCTTCGGCGACCTCTGATTCGCCTTACGTCATTTTCGCCGCCCCTCTACGCCGGAACCATGATCTCCGTGCAGGGCGACCACCACCACCACCACCGCCATCACTACCACCACCAGCCGCAGCTTCCTGGCTCTGCAGACACTTCTCGGCCGCAGTTCACCGG